GAAACATTTCCTTGCAAAATGGTATCGACAAGAACAGATTTACAAATAAATAATAAAACATGACTGAAATTATAAATCAACTACTAAGGTTCATTTTCAATCATTGGGAGGGAGACGTGGTAGGACTAACTTTCGTAATAACAAAAAAATGCATTAAATTTCTAATGCAGATTATGTAAGTATAAAATATTGCGTCAGTAGTGGATCTAGAACTTATAGTGTGGAAGTTGTTTGCGACATCAGGGAACTTAATTTGGATATACCGGTTATGGTGTCATTGATATTTACCACACCTTCATTCAATTTTAGCTTCAGATGAAAAATACCTTGCTAGAAGAACATGTTGAAACTTAGGAATTAGGTCTTAACAATTGAGGTGAGAGGAGCGAGGCGTAAAAAAATGATGTCTTTCGAGTCAAAAATTATTTTTTTACTGTAAGGGGGAGTGTAGGGTATGGGTCGAACCCTTAACAGTTAGGGCAAGTATAGACACACCATTCAAGCTTGATACAGCTCCGAATTTTGATTATGATTAAATATTTGACACAGCATAGGTTTCTGACACAGAATGAATGTGGTCTAAGATCTTACAAAGTTGAAATTGGACATTTAGATATGGGAAGATGTGGTATGAGTGCCAATGAGACAACTCTCCATCCAAGTCACAATTTATAAAAGAAAACCATTATAAGTCAAAGTACGGTTTTCAACACGGAGCCTTGGCTCACACCGAACAACAAGCTATAAAGGGCCCAAAAAATTACTTAGTCTAGTGTAAAACCATTCAAACGGGAAAACCAACTGTCTAATCTATATAAAAAAAACTACCTATAATATGGTCCAATATCCAAAATCTAATTATATGGTTAGATTCAGCATATCAAAGAACCCCAAGAATTCAATTTTTGTTGAAATCAAACAAAGTTTAATTTGAACCCTTTGGACCTTAATGTTGACCAATTTGAAAACGGGGCTCAAAATTAAAAAAATATCTATATCACGATTAGATTCGGCATATCAAAGAACCCAAATAATTCAATTTTTGATGAAATCAAACAAATATTAATTTTGGACCCTTTGGACCTCAATTTCGGACCAATTTAAAAACAGGGCCCAAAATCAAAAATCTCATTACACGGTTAGATTCAGCATATTAAAGAACCTCAAGAGTTCAAGACTTTTAATTTAACCCCATTGAAATTGGTCAAGAAATAAGCAATTTATACAGTATTCGAAAAGTATTGTTTTTGCCCCTAATTCCTTAACGGTTAAGGCCATAACCCCCAAAATTAATCCCAAACTTCCTTTTTTGGTATGAAACCTTGTGGTTTAATTTCATATAGATCCATACACTTATACACAAGTGATTGTCCTGAAAAAATAAAATGCTTGTTTTTTGCCCCTAATTCCTAAACAGTTAAGACAATAACCTCAAAAATTAATCCCAAACTTCCTTTTGTAGTATGGAATCTTGTAGTACAATTTGATAGAGATCCATACACTTATACTCAAGTTATTGTCTGGAAACCAAATGTCTTCGGACGACAACGACATCGCCATACCATTATACGGCCGCAAATTTATAAATATAAAAAATTGAATACCACCTTTCCATTTCAAAAAAATTTCAAGACCCCTCTTTATTTTCTCCTAACCCCTCTTTTTGGGTTTACAAATAACTGGTCCCTTATAGGAGTCATTACCCTTTCTATGTCAGATTTTTGCCCATTTATGTGTCCTTTTTTACTAATATCTTGAAAAAAGTAAGATATAAGGAGAAACTGGAACAGCTAAAATGATCAGCAAGGCAAAATTTACAAAAAATGAACATACTTGAAATTTATGTGCCAACTTCTTCATTTGTTCTTATAGAAGAAACTGTCTCTAAATAGGAAAGACATTTTCAATTGAAATAAACTATAATGTTCAAAAAAAGAAACGCATAGCTCGGATGAATTTTTCAAAATGCAAAATATATATTTTACAAGGTAAAATGAAACGGTCAATTGCATCTTCGAATTTTTACAGGTAAGTTTTAAACTTTAAATGCCCGTTCTTTTGATTTGGATCTCTGCCACATGAAATTTGCGACTCGCTAAAATTGCATATGACCTCTTTCGCCGCGAAATTTTGCTAACGTTTTGTCACGAGAATTTTGTGGTCAACTCAACTGTTACACTTTTACGTATATAAGGACCAAGTTTTAAGATTTAATTTCACAACGCTAAAACGCTACCATGCCAAGGTTGGACCCTGCTATTTGAAATATTGTCATCGGCCGTCTCCAGGCCGGAGTGTCCCAAAGAGAATTTGAACTAAAAATGTTAACCAGAGCACAATTTCGCGACTTTGGAACATATACCAGCAGACTGTCTGTACTAAGGACCGCCGAGGAGTAGACGACCTCGCCTAACGACTATCGCTACATCCGGGTATTTCATTTACGGAATCTAACCGTTGCCGCAACAGCCACTGAAGTTAGGATACCAGGATTGAGAAGAATCAGCTCACAAACAGTCCGCAATCGACTGCGACAACTTGGCATTAGACCCAGGAGGCCGTATTTTGGATCCGTTTTGAGGCCGTTACACAGACGGAATAGAGTCCGATGGTGCAGCAGATTGAGGGGTTGGACATTCCGCAACTGGCGCAGAATCTGGTTCAGTGATGAGTCCCGTTTTATGCCTCAGGAACGTGATGGAAGAACTCGTGTCTACCGGCGCATGAATGAACGTTTTGCTTCCTCGTGTGTCCAAGAAGTGGACAGCTTCGGTGGAGGAAGTGTCATGATGTTGGCGGCTATCTCTAATGACCGTAAAACGGAATTGGACAATGTTCCGGATAATTTAACGACTCAAAGGTGCAGAGTCGAAATTTTCCAACCTCACCTTATGCATGTTATTGACCGGCAAAGGGAGTTATTCCAGCAGGACAATGCTAGGCCTCACACAGCGAGTTAAACAATGGACTACCTTGATCAGAATAACATCAATGTGCTTCCTTGGCCTTCCAAATCACCGGACTTGAATCCTATTGAGCATCTACGGGACCAGCTGGATAAACGTGTGCGCCAGCGTCAACACCCGCCTCAGACCCTTGATCAGCTCCCACAAATGTTGCAACAGGAATGGCGAGCAATTCCACGCAACAACATTAGAACATTGATAGCATCTATGCCGAGGAGATGCGTAGCAGTCTTAGCAGCGAGAGGTGGTCATACACGGTACTAACTTTAATGGCACCGGAAGTAACTCTAATTGTGATAAATTGACTTTTATTCATCGATCTCGAAGGAATTGACTGTCCTCTTCTCAATCGAACACGTTTTTAGTGAATATCTTTATTAGTAATTGTAAAATTTTCATTCAAAATACATGTATTAAAATTCTTAAACATCCATTATGCGTTTCTTTTTTTTACGAGTATATTTTGTTTACTTCCCTTATGAAACAAATAATGTCTTTTTCAAGAAATAATTTGGAATCAAACATTTAAAAAAAAATCCCTCTATATATAAACTGACCACCTCCAAATAGCACGATAGTGCTGAAAGTGGCGTTAGATACCAATTAATCAACCAATTAATCAATCAATTATCCATACTGGTATAGTTATGCATGAGTGGAAAATTTTATAGCTATTGTTATGAAAAACTTTAAAACATGACTGTGATTTAATTGGTATAGGAAATGAATTAAGATAAAGCAGCAATTCACAAAGAGGGAATACATATACCGGTATAGCTGTCTTTTGCAAGAAAAGTTGTTTTATCATATTTTCGCCGCAACCGGGAAGTTCTTCAACTAGTTCCTGTATTAATGATCAAAATCTACCTCCGAAATGTTTGAAACCTTGATTTTTGTTAAAATGCACTGTCACATTTTTCCATAAAATGCACTTTCGGAAGCTGACAGGAGGCTGTAGCTGCTAGATCAGAAGCAGTAAACTGGGATTCAAAAATAAAATGCAGAATATCCTCTGATAGATCAAAAATTTGAACTCCAGGTGCTCAATACACAGTCGAGGACCCATAATTTAATAACTTTAACCGTATGTTCATTATTGTAGACCCATCAATTAAACTTAAACTTTGCAATTCATATTTTGACAATTTTCCAACAATTATTTTAGATGTGATTTTTTCATCTTTAAAACGAGGTACCAACGTGCCAATGTTTATCTCTTTTGAAATCTCAACCATTTTCTAATCGTAATCATTGACCATAACAACGATGAAAGCACATCATATATGGACGTTTTGACATCATATAATGAAGTAAACCGAACCACATCATATAATGTTACAAGCACATAATATAATGACACAACCACAGCATATAAAGATGTTTGCACATAATATAAGAGAAAATGCACATCATATAAGGATATTTGCACATCATATAAGTATATTTGCACATCATATAAGTATCTTTGCACATCATATAAGGATGTTTGCACATCATATAAGTACATTTGCACATCATATAAGTATATTTGCACATCAAATAAGTATATTTGCACATCATATAAGGATATTTGTACATCATATAAGTATATTAGCACATCATATAAGTATATTTGCACATCATATAAGTATATGTGCACTTCATATTAGGATGTTTGCACATGATATAAGGATATTTGCACATCATATAAAGATATTTGCACATCATATAAAGGTGTTTGCACATCATATAATGACAAGTGCACATCATATAAAAGTAAATGCACATCATATAATGATAATGGGCATAACAAGACAGTTTTGGCGTTCCATACTGGACATAAAGAATAGTCCGTAGTCTATAGTCGAAGATCGTGTGTTGAAATTATTTTTGTTTTGTAGGATAAATGTCCCATTAACTTATATATGGCGTTTCATATTTGAAATTACAAAGTGGCCAAATAAGTTAGAAATGAAGAGATAAAAATGTATGTATTTGTATCTAATATTCATATCTGTTTTTTAACATATATTAAACTTTCTTACTTAATTTCAGCACCGTTTCCTGGAAAGTTTGGAACATGCAGTATGTTCAATACACGAGCAATGATGACAATTTTGGAAGAGTACACATTGATCAATGAACAACGTTGTGGACATATATGCTCGAATAGAGAAAACTGTATGGGGTTCAATTATAATATCGTCAGCAAATCTTGTGCCCTTGTTTCATCCGGAGAGATAATACACACAGCTAGTGTTCCTCATTGGGTTTTCTACACACGTGGCCTACCTGTACAAAGTACAGGCCTATATTTGGCTTGCTACTAATGTATATTCTAGTTTTATTGTATTGGTGGGTTTCTGTAACCTATTTTTCATATTCTTATCCCCAATGTTCCAGATATTATATAAAACACGTTTGTTTCTGGAAGTCTGATGACTACTGTTACTTGACAGAAAGCTGATAACAACCTGAGCGAGAATTAAGTAACTGAAGAAGTTCGAATGTTTATATACATGCATTTTTATTGAATAATATTTTATTTTTATTACATATTTCTTCATTTCTATTGCATGAGTGTTCATTTGTATTCTATTAAATGTTTCCAATTCCTTAAAATGACTTTTGAATTTATTTCAGTTAATTATTTTTGACTAAATGTGAAAATGATTCGACATAATTTGGCAAACGGACAGAATGTAATCATTTAAATATTTACATCTCACTACATACAAAGAACAATTTCCATGAACAAAAACCTGCATTGCTTACACTCAATTCATTTGAACTTTGGTGGATAGTTGTCTCATTGGCAATCATACCACATCTCCTTATTTTTATTTTATATCATGGATAGAAGACCACAAAAATCAGCAGGTTAAGAAGATCCCTCGATATCAGTTATCAACTAAAATCCTGACTAGTATTGCCTGAAATATTACATTGTTTACTATTTAGTTGAAATGGCTGTTTCAATATGACTTATATGATGCCTCGCCATACGAACCGTTGGAAAAAACAACAAAGGACTTAATGATGCAACAACACTTAAAAAGGTACCAATTATTTCTCAAATGCAGGATTTCCACTTGGGCATCCGATAGACTAAACACAGTAGTCGAATTCAGAGGTAGGACTTAAACCAGTTTAATGATAAAATTGGAGGTTTCATATTATACCAGAACAACACTGAAATCCATAGGACAAATTTGCAGCTCTGGTGTTATCATATCAGTGTTAACATGGTGACCTGTAGCAGGCGGGAACCATAGAAAAGTAACGTTTCTTATCATAAAGGTAACAAAATCATTAGTTTGTTTACTTCGGTAACCATTTTAATCAAAGTTATTTCGAAACCGCAATGGTACATGTTTTGAAATATAACCTGCTAGACTATATTGTTTTTGAAATATACATGTAAATGCATTTTATTTTTGCCTTCTTGCTATATCTAAATAATTTCATTACATTTTCGTATGCATGCTTTTAAAAGAATGTTAATCTTAACTTCAAATTACTAATATCACGTACTTACAAGAACAAATCCTCTTTCCATACACCAATCATCAGAGTTTTCTCCACAGTCGTTAGCATTGTACAATTTTCTAAAATCAATCTATTTTCCATTACAAAGTTTTAGATCAGTCCACTTTCACTGGAACTTTCAATAAAACATATTGTCTTCCTGTGAATATAAGGATATACAAGTTATGTCTGTTCAGGTTAAACTGTAGCAGGCGGGAACCATAGAAAAGTAACGTTTCTTATCATAAAGGTAACAAAATCATTAGTTTGTTTACTTCGGTAACCATATTAATCAAAGTTATTTCGAAACCACAATGGCACATGTTTTGAAATATAACCTGCTAGACTATATTGGTTTTGAAATATACATGTAAATGCATTTTATTTTGCTTTCTTGCTATATCTAAATAATTTCATTACATTTTCGTATGTATGATTTTAAAAGAATGTTAATCTTAACTTCAAATTACTAATATCACTTACTTACAAGAACTAATCCTCTTTCCATACACCAATCATCAGAGTTTTCTCCACAGTCGTTAGCATTGTACAATTTTCTAAAATCAATCTATTTTCCATTACAAAGTTTTTGATCAGTCCACTTTCGCTGGAACTTTCAATAAAACATATTGTCTTCCTGTGAATATAAGGATATACAAGTTATGTCTGTTCAGGTTAAAACATTAATGGAAAATAAAACAACAAAATTATCTATACTTTGAAAGATTTTGTAATTTTTTAAAAACTTTTTGAAGAATAGGTCCTCTCGATTTTTTAACGTTAGCCTGGCGGTCGAATATCCTTAGGTTTTTGCATCAGAATAAGGTCCGTATGAGTGTACGTGTTTCTGTGACGTATACAGCCAGTAGAGAAATTACTTGAAGTTTGTACGTGATGAATGTATCCCAATATCAGCATTTCAAACCAATTTTACACGAAACTCATGAAACTTGCCGTACTCATCGCTTTCTATGTTAAGAGGGAAATAATAACATGATATGGTAATTCTGATTGTATCTGTTTTCCCTTACAACTATTTACCAGAAAGTTTTCCTGTGAACTGATTGTAAGAAGTGTCCAAGCAAAGAACGTGCGTGCAAAAAGTAAAACAACAAAAATACCAAACTCCGAGGAAAACTCAAAACGGAAAGTCCCTAATTAAATGGACTAATCAAAAGCTCAAATACATCAAACGAATGGATAACAACTGTCATATTTCTGACTCGGTACAGGCATTTTCTTATGTAGAAAATGGTGGATTAAACCTGGTTTTATAGCTAGCTAAACCTCTCACTTGTATGACAGTCGCATATTGACAACGATGTGTGAACAAAACAAACAGACAAAATAGGTAAAAATGTCAAAAATACGGTACAGCAGTCGACATTGTGTTATAATCTTAATCACTATAAAACAAACAAATATGTAACAAAGAAACACAAAAGGCTTATAGACAAAGCACATTAGCAAAAATGAAAGACACGAATACAAAAATTTACCATAGCACAATAACACAATGACAGGATGTATAAGTAGAGAGCCACGTCAAATGGATATCACCAAAAATAGACTAAACAGTAAAAGTAATATTCACAAAGACAAATAAAAGAATACTAAAACACGTTATTAAGATGATAGACAACGTTTTACAAAGTCTGAGTAGCAGCTGCAAGCTCTTGAATACCGAATAAGTTGGGAAATGTATATCCCATATGCAGGTGAAGTTGATATATTGCTACTAAGGTTGGGGAAATTGATAATTTCAAAATTAAAATCGTCTCGTTTGTCATAGATTCTGGTACTGCGTATATCAAATTCGAGGTATAAGTCTAAAAATGAAACGGAGGAAGCCGTGTCTGTTGTTTCTTTAATTTCTAGTTCTGGGGGATATATTAATGGAACCCAATCAGAAAAGTTTAGATTGTTAATGGAAAGAACATCATCAATATATCTGAATGTGAAATAAAATTATCTGGATTCTTTGATCTTCTTGTTTTTGACAAGTGTCTGAAGGAACCCCGACTCATCTGAAAATGAGAAGAGGTCGGCAAGGAGAGGCGCACAGTTCGTTCCCATAGGAATGCCGACAATTTGTTGAAAAAGTCTACCTCCTATATCAACAAATATGTTGTCAATAAGAAACTCCAGCATACTGATCACTTGTTCCTCTGTGTAGCATGTTTTACCTTTTTGTTCACCATTAACAAAATATGTCGTGTGGTATCTCAAAGGAATAAAATTTATAGCGTATGCTACTATGTTATGTTGAAAAGCATTGTGGATTATTTCTTTTAGACAATTTTTCAATTTCACATTGGGAATGGTGGCAACACACTGAAGAGTAAATTTTCAGCCTTTGCAAGGGAGGTTAATTTTTGCCATTTTCATCTTCCACTGATTAAAGCATCATTGACTGTACCCATATGGAACGCCGAATTTGTATTTGCAGCCGTTTTGCATTATTTGTTATTTTGAACTTACCAAGTCAGGAAAATGACAGTTGTTTTCCATTCGTTTGATGTGTTTGAGCTTTGATTTTGCCATTTGATAAAGGACTTTTCGTTTGAATTTTCCTTGGAGTTCGGTATTTTTGTTATTTCACTTTTTACATACCTAGGAAATGAATTCATCCCTTTACACGTTATGATGTATTGCGGAAAGCACGTGTTATTTTCATAAATTTCAATTTATGATGCATCGGCAGTTGTCTAGCATGTCTTTATTGGATCACTGAAGAGACATTATTTGTCAAAATGCGCAACTGGTGCATCAAAATTGGTACCGTTTATGTTATTGTAACTGAATATATCACATTTACATCACGCGGTATCAGGCTTGCTACAGTCCAATGATTTTTATAAACACTTTTTGATAAATGATATATATCCATGAAAATTATTCCCCAATTTCCTTCAAACTTGTGTGCATGACGTTTTAAGAAAAACATTCTCAAAGGATCAGTCTGAATACTTCCTGACAGTTCATTTAGATGAACTTTCTAATCAAGAAACATTCTCTATAAATAAGAAGATGTGGTATGAGTGCAAATGAGACAACTCTCCATCCAAGTCACTTAGCCTTTAAAATGTTACCTGACGAAGAATACATATTTCAGCGATTGAGCATTTGGTTGAAGTTTTGTTTTTTTTTTTTTTTGAGTCTAATCAATTTTGTTTTTAATTATGCCTTGTTCTGTTATGTTCTTTTTCAAGCAAAAATGTCAAGTTTAATTGTCACCAAACTGACAAGACGTACCTAAGGAGATATAAAGGCCTGAACGATACAATACCATGTCATGTTTGTGTCGTTTACTGAACCTCAGCAGGGACTCTCTAGCTTATATCTGAGCGTTATCTAATTATTAAAACAATTGAAGGTGTCGGACAAATCTTTTAGTTTTTGTATTTAAAACTTCCCCAGCATTGGAGTGATTATTAACTTGCCAAATACAAACACCTGTTTAATATTGAAGACTGCATATAGATCTCTAAAATTCTATTTTGATTTGAACATGTTATTGATTCACTCTCACCATATGCCACATATGGATAATAGCAACCTTTTGAAATCAAAGAAAATGTACTTTCATCCAAATAAACTGATAGTGAATCGATATTATTATTTTTCTATCATTTTTGTAATCTTTAATGTATAAGTCACCTACTATTATGTCGTTGCACGGCTGGTGACAAGACGTTTGGAAAGCCAAAACATAAAAGGTTTAACTCCTAAAGGGTCTCAATATAATAGCCAGTAATAGTCTGTGTCCGTATTGCCTAAAGGAATAGGAACTTTTGTTTTCATTTTGTACAGCACTGGGTCGATACCGCTGCTGTAGGACTATCTGTCAGTTCAGTAGTCAGTACTTCGGTACTGACATGATTTATAACAAACCATTCTAATATTTCAAATTGTCCGTGTAAAAATTTTGAAATTATTTAGAAGCTAAGGTTTCCAATCCTTCTGGCAAAATTGACATTAGATGGATT